ACAACAGGGCCCGCGCAAGACAAAACAACGCAGAATTATTTATGTTTTGTGTCTTATTATATTGTGTTCAAAGTCCTGGTAGAGAAAAGGCATATTCAGAGTAAAACAAAGAACAGCGTGCAACAGTACACAGCCTCAGCAGTATCTTGATGTGAGGGGATGGGAGAGGCAGAGAGAAAGCTCGGGGCTAAACATGCAGTATGTGGCGGGGCTGGAGCTAAAAGCTGCATAAAGCACACAGCCTAAGTCCACTGTTAGCAAGTGATGGATAGTTAGCAGGAGCTGCGAGTGTTCGTCTAATCTGTTACAGTAAACCTGTGCCAAAGCCTGAAGGGAATCAGTGGGGGCTTGCTAGGAGTGGGTTTGACGTGAAACCATTTGTGAAGACGAGCGATTCTCTTAAGTAAGAAACTAACAGTGTCCGGAGAGAGAGGGAGAGAGAGGGAGCTGGAGAGCAAGCGAGACAGGAGGTGAGGAAAATGAGTGAGAGTACGAGAGAGGGAGAGAGAGAAGGAGGAAGAGATACCATAATGAGTCCTGTAGCCATGGAGTAAATGAAGAGGGATTGACAGAGTGAGGGATCCTCAAGTGAAATAATGTCAATGCCACTCTGCCCATTAGAGAGAAAGGGAGGATGGTGGAGGAGAGGGTAAAGAGGGATGAATGGAGGGACACGGCTACATCTTAGGGTGCAGAGGAAGCACATAAATTATTTGTGACACCCCCGCAACACACACACCACCAACAAAAATATGAAATATGAAACAACAAAATGAACTGACAATAGCAGCTGAAAAAATAAAGAAATAAAAAAAACAACAACAAAAAAAGGCCTTGGAAATACCCAATAAATTCTCAGAGACATGTAGTTGGGATATTTGATGTTGAACAATAATAATCACAGTGACATCTGCCTTGCTGCTCTCGGAGGAGATGGGCAGAGCCTGTGAATGGAAGGGGTTAATCTCCCAAACCCAATAAGGTTGGATAGTGAGGCACTTGTTCCCTGATAAAGAAGTGATAGGATCTGTGGGTCCGGTCCCTCGGCGCTTGTACAGGGGTAGAGCAAATATTGTTAATGTGCTGTGGTTTACTTCAGCTAAGGCGAGAAAAACAGCTCTGCTTGACGAGAGAAGACAGCGGCGAACCAGAATACGACAGAAATGGCCACGCGGCTCGGGCCTCGGCCTCCCAGGGACTTAACTGGCATATATATCCAAGACCACTCAGTTGCATAAATAAGTGCTCGGGAAGATTAAGATCTATAAGTGTCTCTATTTCTCGTTTTACCTGCTCCGCCTTGTCACAACAGGGATCTGAATGCAGTTCAGTGGAGTGCCTAATAACTGGAGCAGTAGGTAGGGAAGGCAGGAGGTTTGACATTAAGACCCTGGCGTTTTGGAAATCCGATACGGTATTGACCCGTGTACTACTATCTCAGCGTAGAGATCTGGTGTCAGCAGATTGTAGTCTGACTCTTACAGATACTGTGGCCATCTGTCAGTGTATTGTGTAACGGCCTAAACAAATACGTAGAAGCTCTTTTGTACAATAAGAACAAGGTGTACTATTGAAGGAAAAAAAAATACTCTCATGTATGTAATTTAAGAAAGCAGCGAGTGGTTGGAATTTCAAATAGCTGGACTTTAAATTTTTCACAAGTCATTAAAAATGATACAAATCTGCAAATGAATGGTTAAAAAAAATTGAATGAAATTGACAGGAGAGCTCGCCTCCTTAATAATACAACATTATCCTTATTTGCCCTCTTCACTCAAATCAAAGGGATGGACATTAATGCATGAGTGACATCAACCCTGCAATTAAGTTGGCCATTTAAATGAGAGAAGGCCTTCCTCACCTCGCCTGTTTGTTTTTTTCCCTCTCTCTCTTCTCTTTTTTCCCTCTTCCCCCTCTGTTTGATGATGGGAGAGGGTGAGCTAGAATTAGGGCGATGGGTCTTCCTTTGAGTGTCAGCCTAAAATGATCAGAGTAAAGATAAGAGGGTCTAGCAGCCCTCAAATCAGTCAAAGTGCCAAAGTCGGCCTTTTTCTCCTCAATTACCGGGTCTGTGAAGCCAGGGAGTGGAAGGCACCGAGCCTGCTGCATTACTAAAGAGACAATCTATTTCCCCTTTGACCAGAGGGAGAGAAATCATTATGGCATGATTAGTAGCTTCGGCAGCGGGCGAGCATGGAGGTACTACAGGAGAATCGTATTAATTGCCTTAGACCAAGGCATGAGTGGGATTGTTTTAACGTTGATTTGTGGACCGGTATGACTAGCTGTCGGAGATAAAAGCTGATGTCAGGTCTTAGTTATACTGGCAGACTTCGGGCATGCAGACAGAGAAGGCTGATGTCAAAATGAGCTTCCGTGGCTGCCCTGGAAGTCTTTCTCTATATGCCTGTCGATGTCTTCCTCTTTGTCTTTCTTCACACTTCATAGTTTTCCTTTACGCCTCCCACTATCCCTCCCTCTACTCCCCCCTTCCCTCAGATGGACTACACCCCACCCCTTCCCGCACTCCCTTTCTCTCTCTCTCCTCCAACTGATAGCTGCCTTGGCCGATTATTTCATCCAGTGCGGTCCACTGAGAGCCTCCTCTCCCGGCTTTGGAAGAGCTTTAATTAGCCATGTTAATATCCCCTTCATTGGCCTTAATATCACTCAACACCTTCCTCCATCTCAGCGGCCACCAGGGTCCCCCTGTCCTGTCAGAACAGCTGATTATTGAGAAGGATAGCTTTAATCAAACCTAATTGCAGTTCATTCTTTCTCTCTATCCCCCTTTGCCCTCCATTGCCAACATCTAATGGCAGCGACGACTTGATATCCCATTAAAAAACAATTAAACAACCTCCTTTTGTCTCTGTGCGTGCCAAAACACCAGCACAAACTTCTGTAGATATTTAAGAAGTAAAAGAGAGAGAGAGGGGCCTTGTCTTAATTGCTCTCCTTCTCACCAAGGACCAATTTGCACTGTGCTCATGGAGAATCTTAACCAACTCAAATGTAATGGATGCTATAGCACTGCCACTGCTGCGGACTATGAAAATTAAGCTTATCTTTTTAGCAGAGAAATTGTGCTTAATTGCCTTCATAACAGTAAACATAAAGGAGCCACTTTATGATAGCGTGGGCACTCAATTTCTTGTGTTTATTGTTTCTTAACTTTTGGTTTCACTGTAGTAGGAACAGTATGTAAAAGCATTAAAGTATCCGAGAAAAGAGACAAGACTAACTCTGAAAGTAATGTGTTTCTTTTATGAAGTCAATGCATTGCCTAGGAAATGTATTCTATCTCTTGCTCTGACATAAATTGTCTACCAACGAGTGATGCATGTACATGCACGTGCTCACACACACACACACACACACACACACACACACACACGTGTAGACGAGCATGCATGCGTGCACAAACACACACGCTGGCCTTACCCAATCTGTATGAGAGGCGACAGACAAATAAAAGTCGTATTTCAGGTCTGCTTTCCGCAGATGTCTGCTGCTCTACATTATGACTCTTTGGGGAAATAAAAACAGGGTCAGGGAATTAGAGTACATAATGGTCATTTTGATGATCAGCCAACAGATGCAACCCGAAAACACAGTGAACACAATCAAGCGAAATGCACTAATGACAAGTCAGGTTTTTTATGGCCTCACCACACACCGACAGGCAATCAGCATTCTGGCATGGGTTAAAACGCCTTTTATTGATGTCCAAGCCAAAGCTCCTTGGATGTGAAGTGAAAATATTTTCTCACCTCTCCTCTCCCTCCTGGGCCCTCAGTGAGGCACAAGGTATAGGAGTCTATCGAAGAACGCTTCTAAATGACCAGTGCATGTGTTAATGTGGCCAGGGTTAGGAGGGTCATTTCAGACTCTGATTTATGGGCTGGCCAGGATCCCACTGGGTGAACGAGAAGTCTTAAGTGTTGTGAAAGCGTCCTCGCAGGCCACACAAGCCACTGTATTTAGCGGAATGAAATGGCCATGCAATCTATGGTGCAATCTATGGTAATCCAATGAGCCGCTGTGATTCTGTGAGCCAAGGTAGTATTACAATGGAAACCACAGTATTGCATATCGTAACGCTAGTGCAATGTGATGAAAAATAAATATCTCGGCACGGTATTTTTAATGAATCGGAGAAAGCAAAGGCACAATCAGTCATGATTCTTTGGGGAGAATTTACAAAAACAAGTCAATTTCATTGTTTATTCTGTGTGGTTGTGTGAGATTTTACACAATGGGCCACATCTGAGACAATATTTCTCATTGGTCCCGCTGTTAATCTTCCTCTTTTTAACTGTTTTACGTCTGCGAGGCCACATCTGATACACAGCTCTCAACACGCGGCTTTATCAATACATTGAGGCGAGACCTGAGAGAGGGGAGAGGAAGGCGGCTTACAAACTAACCAAGCCCAGATCTCACTCAGACGTGACATTTGTTCAGAGACGATTAGCCAGGTTGTAATTTGTGGCATAATTGCCTCACCCACCCACAAGTGCATGGGTGTGTGTGTACACGTTGTGTGTCTGTGTGTGTGTGTGGCATACGGTGGTCCCAGGAGTGTCCGCCTAATTGCCTGACAGGACTATAAGTTTTGTGGCGCGCTCCCACCTTGTTAGGTCCTTTATCCCTGATGCTCTTCAAACAAGACCTGGTCACAGGTGGGCCTCATTTGCTTCCCTATTGAACAGGAGTACTTTAATTGCACAGGGGGTGTCCTGGGATTAAAGAGGTGGATGGAATATCAAGTGACTTCCTGTATGTTAGTGGCAGATGGGTGTTGGGAAAAGACCCGTGAACTCAGGTGAAGGGATGAGATGACAAAGAGACTGACGCTCTTGATTTTGAGGGGACGATACAAGCTGCAAAGCAATAGTGCAGTGTCACGTTTGAGAACAGATGTGCGTTTGATCTGAATATTCAACAACTTTTATTGTAATTAATCCTTTTTGCTTTTGTTGTGTGCTCTCTTGCAGATTCTTCCTAAAGTTCTTCCTCAAGTGCAATCAGAACTGTCTGAAGAATGCAGGGAATCCACGAGACATGCGCAGATTCCAGGTGACTGAAGTCTCACACAAAACTCACACACTTGCTCCGGCTATTTCTGCGCCCGTCTCTCACTGTCTATCTCTCTTTTCAGCAGACACACAGGTGTACAAATGCACAGCCACACTACACTAAGTCACATCGATGCACATATGAATACAATTCTATTATTGGCACTGAAGGAGGCAAAAAGCGGGGAAAGAGAGAGTGAGGGATTTTGTGTCCTGTGCACTCTGGACAGAATATTTATTAGGGAATAGCATCTGACACAAATAAGGATATAGGATTTAAGAGTGCCATCAATTGTGTTCCTGACAGCTTTCTGAGCCTCAGCGCAGAGGGGAGGACGATCCAACCACATGTAACAACAGTGTTAACTCAGGATCTGTCTGGCAGCGGAAGCGCATACCTTCTTATACACACATATGCGCAAGCACGCAGACACACACATATGGATGGATGCCCATACAAGCTAGGAGCGCATATATTTGCTTTCTCTACATCCCGCTCTCATTTTTACCCACATATGCATACACTTAAACTCACATGCAGTTCACCGTATAGCCAATGAAAACCATCTTAAGCCATCTGAAAACCATCATTATCGCGAGCTGACAAAATGCCCCGATTTACACTAAAAGGACATGACCGCTGAGCACTTTTACTGCTTCTTTAACCCTCTCGCTTCTAATGTGTCAAGTAGCTGAGCCTTGAAATTATTGACCCCCCTCTGCTGATCCATTTATCCAACCATCCATCCGTCCTGCCCCGACACTTTTGCCACAAGCAGCCCCACTAGGTCAAGGTGAGAGAGTGAGAGTTTAGTGTGATTTGTCCTATCGGGATAGCGACAAACTACAGGAGGGCGTCCGTCACTGACAGCACTGTTCTGTGATAGACACACAAGCCAGCATCCTCCAGGAGGAAGCCCAGACATGAAACAGACAAGACAGGGTGTCCCCTCCTGATGTCACCACCATCAGACCTCCCCTGCCTCCTCAAATCTTCCCTCAGGGTGAATGTGGACTGATGCATGACAGCCACCAAGGGCTTTCACCTCTCACTCCTGTGTGTCAAAAGGAATGCAAGAACTAAGTTGTAGCATTTCCTTTTTTTGTGAAACTAAAACAACTATGTTAAGTCTAAAACATTTTTTGTTTCACTGATGATCATCCCTTGTCTGTAGTCCAACAGTTAGTATGCCATTTTTCCCCAAATAGATTTCCCAGATGCTCCACCATAGGTGTTTCTCTGGCCAAAGTTGTGTATTCTGCATGCCTTCCACTCCACTTATTACCCCCAAAAACCAGCTGGAGGCCAGAGAGGGCCCAATCCATCATCCTCAGCTTGGCCCAGCTCTGAACCTGCTCACAAGAATGGAGCTCTTTCACTTCCCCTTCTCTCCCCCTCCTCCCCCCTTACACCCCCACCCTCCCCAAGCCAACCAGAAAAAAAAAAAAAGCGCCCCCCTAAATTCCACTGCTACACCGAGGTCACTTACCGGCGAAGCAAACCTGAGAGGGGCTCTCTGTTTCCGGCTCAGAAACACTTTGGCCATTCACATGCGGGCTCACTGTTTGGAGATGTGGTAGCCAAAAAACAACAACAAAAATAAGCATTATGAAATATGGAGTGTGGCTTGGAATCCGATCCTAGTAAAATGTTTGTTGAGTGATGGGATGGAGTACGGTTCAGCTGCTAATGACTCCAGTAATATTTTAAAAGGGAGGCCTTCCATCCTCAAATAGATGGACAAGCTGATCAATAATTCTGAGCTTCGGCTGTGATGACAGTAAACGGAAATGGTATTTTAGTGATTGAAAAGTCAATTAGCTGTACACAAATGCAAGACACTAAAAAGCAAAAACAATATGGGCTGAGACGCAGGGTAACTGTAATGCGATATGTCCAAAGAGTACAACCACTTCAGAAGGTTTGACAATAGTAATCGATAGCACACAGGCATGTACCTTGACACAGCAGAGCATTCATGTATCCACCTCAGAGCATCAGCGAGAGTGTCTGTGTATATTTACTGTATTCATTTTAATGTCTGTAATGTATCTCACAATGTATTAAATTGCACGTTTCACCTTCAATCCTGTTGCAGGTTGTCGTATCGACGACCGTCAATGTGGACGGCCATGTCTTGGCTGTCTCCGACAACATGTTCGTACACAACAATTCCAAGCATGGGCGAAGGGCTCGCAGACTCGACCCTTCAGAAGGTACGCCTCCTTATCTGGAGAATGGTAGGCACATTTTTACATCTTATAATTTGCTACGCTCCTTTTTCCTCATAGTTTCTTTTAGACATCCACCCATTTAAAAAAAATAAATAAAATCACACACCTAGTCCTCTAGTGCCTCTAGTTCCCTAGTTGCATCTTTTGCTCCTCCATCACTTTTATTTACTTTTTTAAGTTGCTTTTTGCCTCCATCATAGCAACTGTTTTGTGTTGACTGGATGTAGTCTGCATTACCCCGTGCATCTGTCATGTCAATATCGCTGATGATGACGATAGGCTGATTTTAAAATGTTATACTACTTCCACTCTCCTAATGCACGTACATTTGTCCTAAAAGCCTATGTGAAACATGATCAAATTGCTTAAGAATTTGGCTGTGAGGTCAATTTCCTGTCATTGGGTTCTGCAGATTTAGCTGTGAGTGAGCTGAAACAGGGAGGGAGAGAGAAAGCAGAGGGGGAGGGAAGGGTGGGTTGATGGTGAGTGTGTGTGTGTGTGTGTCTCTGTGTGTGTGTGTGTGTGTGTGTGTGGAGGTGGGGAGGGGGGGGGGTCAGCCTATGAGAAAAACAGAACTTACTGTTTTTCTTCCAACTGATTCCATATGATAGACTGATTGCCTGCTCAGCCAAAAGAGAGAAAAGAAGGACCACCAAACCATGGGAAATCCAAAAAGTAAAATGCACTAAACATAACCTTGTGACCCCCGTGGCCTCCGCTTGCAGATGGGAGCACATGCAGCTGAAAGATTGTAAGGAGAAGAAGAAAAAAAAGAGAGGAGAGAACTGACTTTGTGACCAATTGTGCAAATTGCTTATCTTCAGATTTCAAGAGCCAATTATGGCTGGGCAAACAGTTTATATACACCACTGACTAAAACAAGCTTCTCTACACATTAATGGGCATTAATGGTTCTATCACCAAAAGCAAATGTAATGTTTAATACAACAACGACTAATGAAAAAAAAAAAAAAGACTAGACAATTAATATATCTCAGTGCTCTCCAGTCCTAGTGGGGGAAAAAGCTAATCTATTTGTTTTTGTCTTTATTAATGACTCCTCTACTGGAGAACAAAATCAAATAATTAAAGTCCTGCCCGGAGCACCAAAGTCATTATGTTCGCTGACGTTCTGTTTGTGCGTTTCACGTTTATGACACGATAGGTGTGGATCGCCTAGCAACCAGTTTCTTAATGAGGGGAGCAATTAAAGAGGTTGAGCCCTCGCCTCCATGTTCCCCCTCTCCCACGGGACGCCGTGCGTTTTGTGTGTCTATGTATGTGTGCGTGCGGGTGTGTGTGTTCTTTACAGGTTACCCCAACCCATCCCTTTCTTCCTCTCTTCACCACACTCTTCAAAGCAGCAGAGTGACGCCCCGTAAAGCAAGAAAAGAAGCTATTGTCAACCGCCCAGTTGAACATGTCTTTGTCTAATAACTTTAATACACCTTCCTTCTGCTCAACCGCTCTCACAAGTTGAGATCTTTTTTTTTTTTTTCTCTTCCCCTCCCTCCCAGGCTCGGCTCCATAACAGACTAATTTAACATGCATCAACAACGATTGCTGGCTTTGTTTGAGTCACCTTTAACAAACAGAGACATGAGAAAAGGAGACTCGGTCGTAAAATGTAATTCCAGCCATGTCCTCCATAGTGCTTTGACAACTAGCAGGCAGACAGACAGCGTGCTTTAAATTAGCAACACATTCTTCCTCAGGAGTTCACTGGGCGAGAAGCCTCAGATATGTGGCTGACTGACTGAAACACAGAGGCATCCTTCCTCTCAGCTCACACACTGCACTTGCACCGGCTCGCTCGCATTGATCAAGAGGTGCTGCCCCCTATTGGCCCAGGCACGGGATAGCCTGTGGATGACAGACTTGAATCTCACCATGTGACATTTTTGTTCACTTGTGTGTACTGTCACACAACAAGCATATTATGCATTCAGACACGAATGTGCTTTGTGGCTGCCTGTCACTCAAACATGTATAGATTCAGGCTCAAAGGTGCATAAACATGCTCACAAATAGCCGAGTCTTTCACACACAGCATCACCCCCCACCGCACACACATGCAGACACACATGAACAGCGCAGCACTGACACACACACACACACTTTTTCTCTCACTCACTCACGCACACACACGTTCCTTAGCTCAGTTCCACCATTATAGAGCCCCAGACAATATAGGAGACTCAGCATAGAGCCTGCAGCGCCTGCCTCATTTGCATGCCAAGTGGCTGTAATGCTGTTAGGGTTTATGCAATAAAGACAAGTGAATCCAGACTGCTGGGCCTAAGAGGAAGAAAGAGAGGGAGAAAAGAAGGAAGGGGGGAAAAGGAGAGGAGGAAAGGAGAAAGAGAAGGAGAGAGGATGGGAGAGAGCGAGGTTGGGAGTGAGTGAGCAGCAGAGGGAGAGAGACAGAGAGAGAGTCAAAGGGAACAGATGGCCCAGGGAGAGGTAAAAGGTATAATCCCATCAGCTGCACTATCAACCGACCATCTGGACATCCCACAGCACAATTACAACACATTTCAGCAGGCAGAACAAAGGACGGCTTCGCGGGGCCACATCAGACCTGTTTGAGTGTCACAATACTAGAGCCGGGACCTCCCCTGCTCAGATCTCGGATCAGTTTTGACGTCCTCTACGGATAACCCTAACCACTGAGGAAAAAGAGTGGGACGGACCACAGATCGGCAGCCTGGGGTCATTACACAGCAAAGTAGATCTTGATATAAAATGAAGCACACAAATAAAAATAGATAGATAACAAAACAAGGTGTGACACATGAATTCAAAAAGGTAAATTGTCCGTACTGTAGCGCAAAGTTTGCAAAGAGTTAGTGATGCAACACTCAGACCGACAAGCTGGCTCTTTGCATCCTCATCCGTCCACTCCTCATGATGCCTATCATCTGCTGAGGGGGCATTGTGCATGTCTGTCATCAGATCGCCTGCGCTGACTGTGTAATCCACTTCGCCACGGTCCCCATTCAGCACATGCTCCCCTCTCTGTCTGTGCATTGAGACATATGCAAATTTTTAGGCAGAAGGGTGGACGGCTTAGGGCCTCAGTCGCTGCCTCTCCATGGGTCCTTCTGTGTGTGGGAGGGGGCACTGGGATTTCCGAGGTGGTGCGTCTGTGTTTGTGTGTGTGTGTGTGTGTGTGTGCCTGTCGTAGGTTTCAGGCTGCAGCTGCCCCCCAACAGTCACCGTCACCATCAGGCCCTCTTCTTGCCTCCTCCTCCTCCTTCCTGCCCCCCCCTCCTCTCTCTCTCATCCCCAAAGTCAATTTGTTTACAGTAATTTTGAAGGGTGAATTATTTGCTGTAATCGTCCGCACTGATGAAGGTCAGGCCCTTAGAGGGGGCCCAGCATGCCCATAGAGGGTTGGTCCTCTTTCAGACGCTCCGCTTCGCAATTAAGGAAAGCAAATGTCACTCCTCCAGGCCTCACAAATGAAAATCTGTACGAGGTGATTAGCATGAAGTCAACAGCGCCTGTTAAAGTCAGATTCCCTGTAGTACCAATGTGTGTGTGTGCACTTTATGGGCAGGGAGAGAGAGCAAACATGACCTGAACAGACCCAACAGCAAGGCAAACAAAGGGAGATGTCTTGTCGGAGGTGATCCATACAACAATGGCCGACTGTGATTTACTTACTGGATGGAAAGGATAATAGAGGGTTAGAACTGAGCTTGTAAAGAAAAAAGGAACTTGCTGAAATAGTTGCTCACATTTTGAGGAGCAGGGGAAAAAAACATGCACAATTCATAGTGTATTAAAAGATATTGATGGAAATAGATTAAATTTGATATTGCTATTTTATGGCAAGCTGTCATGCTATTTCTGTTGTAAACACGGTGTTGTGCTGAACACCATATTAAGGTAATGCATCAAATGACAGTGAATGTGAGGCACCAGATCACTCAAATTAGATTATAATAACAACCCAGACTGTTGATGAATGGCAGAGCTACGTAGCAGAAGTCATGCCAGATGAAAAGCATTGTAATAAACAATATGAAATGGATTGAATCGATCACAAAAAGCAAGAAAAAAAAAAACCTCGATCTGAATAATTCATGAGTGCATTTCACGTTATGAAACCTGAAACTACACTGAGTATGCCTGCACTGTACCACATATGCAGAACAAAGGTAATGAAATAACATGAACCAGCAAAGCTTTAGCTTGTCATTTCCACTTTAACAGCCCGTATTCTTGACTCATTTAAGATGTGTTCAACTTTGAAATTTTACTGTACATGCGGGCGCATGCTTAATCAATTCTGATAGCTACATTTGCCCTGACACATAATTTGCTCCATCAAATCATTTTCCTGGCGAGCCCGGCGTTTAGCCTTTGTGAAGTGGACCATTTGAAGGGTCTGCTTAACTACACCACTCGAGCGCGCTGATAAATGATTTTGATTCTCATGCCTTAAAGGACAAATCCATCATTTTTTTCTTCTTTCCAGGGGCAATTTCCATGATATGTCTTTGTGAGGGAGACATGGAGGTGATGCAGTAATGTGTCTGTGTGGAAAGAGACATGGATTCCGAGTGTCGAAGCTTAGGTGCTGAATTTGCTCTTTCTTTTGTCTTGGATAAGCAGCCACCCCGTGCATCAAGGCTATCAGCCCAAGTGAGGGATGGACCACTGGAGGAGCCACTGTCATCATCATAGGGGACAACTTCTTTGATGGCCTACAAGTCGTGTTCGGCACCATGCTCGTATGGAGCGAGGTATGATCTAAAGTTTGCAGTTATAGATCTGAAGTTCAGTTGTAGCAGTAGAAATTCAGCTTGTTTTATTTAACTTTTTTGTTATTACAGAGGGCTCATTATTTACTTTTCCCCCCTCTATAATAAAGCTGATAACTCCCCACGCCATCCGCGTCCAGACTCCACCTCGACACATCCCCGGTGTTGTGGAAGTCACGCTGTCCTACAAATCCAAGCAGTTCTGCAAAGGTGCCCCTGGGAGATTTGTCTATACTGGTGAGTCAAAACCATCTCTTCCTCTCTCTCTCTCTCTTTCCACAATCTTCTCCTGTGCCTCCCCCTCCTCCTCCTCCTCCTTCCTTCTCCTCACTCTGTCTGGATGGAGCCCTCAGCCCCAAGTCCAAGCACTAATAATGAACTAACCAGGGCCCTGCTTGCTGAATGTTAAAAGTGTGAGATCTGCACTGCTAGTGAAAAGGTGTTTCGTGGAAGGGCTCCTACAAGTGCAACCCGATCCCCCTCTGACCTGCCATTGCACAAGGGCGCTGCCAATCTCTGTTAAACTCAAGCTGTCAGGATAACTCATTCTGCCAATTCTCTTTATCTGCCCCTGTTGCTAGACAGATAATGCTTTCTGCTAATTTGCTGATTCTGTAAAGCAAAATGTGGTTTCATTTTTTATGAATCAGATTAGAAAAGCAATATCCAGGTTAAGTGCATGAGCGTGTCTGAAGTTATTCTCATGTGTGCGCAATATGAATTCATGGGAGAGAAAGAGACGAGAGAGACGCGTATGAGAGAGAGAGAGAGAGAGAGAGAGAAAAGGGTGTGTGTGTCACACTATAAGTAAGGGATCTGATTATCTTGGCTAACAGAAGGAAGTGGTGGTCTTATCTGTCATCATTGGTGAGGAGGCAGAGGTTGCAGGGGTCAGAGCCTGTCTGACCTGGAAGCCTCTGTCTGTTCTAACTCTGATGGGCAGAAAGAAACGGGGGCGCGTCAAAGCACTCTCACTTCCCCCAGCACCCCCAGGCCTCCAGCACAGCCCTGGCCTTGAGCGCAGCAGAATTGCAAAGTGGGGGCTGGATACCCCCCCCCCCCCCCCCCCCCCCCCCCCCCCCCCGCTCGGAAACCCCCATCCAGACCCCTCCATCCTGGGGCAGCTGTTTCTCATCAAGTCCCCCCTCTCTCGCTCCCCAAACCACCACTACCACCACCGCTACCACCCCCAGCCATCCGTCCCCTTCTCCTCCAACCGTGCAGTCTGGCCCAGCTCTCCTGCATTTAACCTCCCTAGCAGGAGCGGAGCAGAGGCCAACAAGGCACCAGGATAATGAAACAGGAGTGTAGTGTGGCTGCGTAAGTGTATGTGTGTCTGTTTGTGGGAGAGTGTGAGAGCGAGCGAGGGAGTGAGTGAGAGGGAAAAAAGTGTGCGCGTGTGTGTGTGCGCGAGTGTGTACATGTGTTACTGCACAGCCCTGAGAAGGTGTATAAGTTAAGACATTAATGGCTTCTATAGCACCCTGGTGAAAGTGCCAGGTCCCTTAAGAACAGACCCCATTAGTCACAGAGGCTAAGCGGATTGGGATGATTACCATCAGGTTTTACTGGGGAAACGTGTCCCCTTCTCTCTATCTTTGTTGATTTTTCACCCCCCCATTCTTCCTCTCTGTCTTCCCTGGGTTCCTACTCACTTCCAGTTAGTATAAAGATACAATTACCCCTGGAGGCAACGGTGGTACAATTGATTAGTGCGCTGAATTAAAAGAGAAAGTCACGAATAGACAGGTCCGGCTCCTCTGCTCTGCTATTCCCCGTGTGGCTCACCCTGATTGTACAAGGGTTGACGCTTGAGAGAATGAAACCGTTAAAGAGAGCAGAATGCATAACCGCTGATTCCATATGTACTGTAATAGCCAGGCGAAATGATGTTAGCTACTTCACTCAGACAGTAAAAATGTGAATGGGCTGAGAGTGGATCATGTATTTAAGAGTGAAACAGCTCATTTCAAATCGCAGCTTTGGCACTTGGAAAAAAAAAAAAGGCACTACACAAGCAAATAGGTTTGAAATGACCTCGAGTTACAATAGCAGATTACATGCTGAAAAGGGCATGTAGTGACACCGCGCTGTCTAAAAGGCACAGAATGTTCCGGTGTCATATTGGAGTGCAACATGTGCATATCAAAGGTCTAGTTATCAAAGCATATGGCTTCAAGCGTGACTTGAGAGCACGGCTTGAGAGGAGTGCCTTTTTAGACTTTTTTTTTTTTTTTTTTCATGTTGACTCTTCTTGCACCACCACCCTAATTGTGGAGATTTAACTCGCTCAATTTAAGAAATTATCACAAATTACCAAGAGTCAACACAGAGGAGACTGCAGCCAATTCGAACAGCGGAGGGACACGTCCTCACTCGGGTTAGTACCCTGGAACGGCTCCAAAACTCACAATCCATTCTCAGAAAGAGAGCACCCTGTAATGTATGTCAAATAATCCTGTTGGCATTGACTATTGAATGTTTAAAGCACTAATGAGACAAACAGACATACTATATAAAACTTTAGTAGGCTGTAGTTTACTGACTGCTTCAAGGAGCTTCTATCTGTACGTTAATTGGCACGCTTTTAAAGGAAAGACGGCTCTTTTTTTCTATTTTACAGTCTATACCTTTTACCTTCTAACAAAATGTTGTCCCTCGGAGCGTGCTGGCTTGTCCTCTGTCTAATCCATGTATTGGTTATCCATTGGTCCGACTGTCAGCAAGGTTGTAGAAAATCAAAAGGAGAAACTCCTGGCTGTACCTGAGGTCAATACTGTATTATACTTTACACTTTATTAAGTGCCGCAAACGGTCGACAGGCTGCTTTGATCAGATATTTTTTAAACAAAAAGTCTCAATTTTCAGCCTCATTTGCAGCATCTTAACCTTTTTACTGCACAGTTACAGCGCCGCTGCATGAAAGAGTAAATCATAAATAAAAACTTTGACCATACAATTCATCCAATTTAAGCTCCTAATTGCATCAGAGCTTTTGGTTTTCTATCTTGGCCAAGTTTCCACGAGAGCTCCCCTCCTGGGGCAACGATGCAGGCCCTTGGTAATATGGTTCTGCAAGCAGTCCTAACACACTCAGCCACTATTTATCCTAATCAGTGACATCCACATAACCAGGATTGCTTAAAATGAACCCCTTCCGCGCCCCAGAAAACGCACATTTACCAGGACCCCATTTGTCATGGGTAAATTGAGGGTCAGTAAACTTCGCCTGTATCCTCCAGTGGGGATCCAGGACATGCATCATAACGTTAGGAGAGAATGATTGGCGAAGGCGAGCTGTCACACATTTGTCAGGGGGAAGGGAACATTATTTGCTAATTTCCCAAGCTGGGCACTGACAGGGTGCTTCGTCTTCAGACCTTTGGTGACCAGCATGGCTTCCCAGCTATTAGTACAAGTCAAGTGTTTTTTCTTTCTTTTTTTTTTTCTCCTCCTCACTGTAAAGCGGCAGTAATAAGAGCCATTCGTTCGACCTCACAAGATCGCAGCACACTGGGTGAAGGATTTTGGATGGAGTAGATGCCCCATACAGTGAGCTGCTCTTGCCAGGCCTTAGTTGAGGCCAGACAGCCTTGAGGGCTGATGGATCACAAACTTTCCTCGTCAAGGTGACGCTATCGACTCCACTGCACCAAAATCTGACAAAATGGGTATGAGGCAGTCATTCATCAACATAAGGACAAAGGGGTCATGTGGGCTTCACTCAATACTGGTGGAGATCAAGAAATGTCAGCCCTGTAAGGGATGGAAAAGGAAGGAAGACGTTCATAGTGCAGAAGTAAGGTCTCTTTTTAGTTAAGATTCAACTACAATATCTTACTTTATGAATGTTAAAAAAATCTATGGTTTTACATGCATGTTCACCCAAACTAACCCGGCAGCCTTTTAGTGCAGCAAATCAGACATAAATAGTGATATCCAGTTAAATCCAAAATCACACTCACTTCCTGTTCCACTCTTAGAAAGAGGAACAAAATGTTTTGTAGTCTTGGACCCTCCTCTCCTCCAAAAAAAGGAAAGAAAAAAAAGAATTAAATAAACAAACACAGACGTCTTTATCGGAGCACATCAGATAGTGCTGTTGGGCTGTGCTGTTGGGCCTGTGAATCGAGCCGATCCTTACGTCTCCTCTCCGCCCTGCAGTCACTTTGAAGTCCCAGACACAGAAGCTGATCAGATGGAGAGCTTCCTTTTCATTTCCTGTCCTGCAGGGTTGGGCTTGGTACTCTGTCGGTTGCTGGTCAGTGATGGGGTGTGGCCTACAGCAAAGATATGCTATAATCAAAGGCATTCAAGGAGGTATGTAAACAGATTCAGAGGAAGACTTGCAACCACATACCAAATACTCCATATAAGCAGTGTGTATTTGAAATTCCTAAATCTACTACACGCAGCGTTTCAGATTTGAGACAATTTATCTGCAGATTATTTTTTTTTTAATTCACCCTGCAGTATGAACTGCTGCTCGTGAGGATGAAATAGGCATTTATAAATGTCATCGCCACAGTCAAGTGGGTTGTAACCAGTTGGCACAACAGTTTTAGCATGTGTCAAAGCATGTTATCCACTAGCCATATCCCCATACCTGCCTGTCTCATTACAACTCTGGTATTTAGCACCAGCTCCACAGGAGTGGAGCAGACACTCGTTGCCAAGTTAGATGGGCCTGGTTTGAAGGCCTTGTGAGCTTGTGTGGAGCGCGACAAGGTTCCACGGAGGAAGGTCCTTGTGTCCAATTAGAGGGCTGACGTGACACGTGCTCGCACTCCCCCACTGTCAGGCAGCTTGTCAGGTAGGCTTTGAGAAGCACACTGTGGCATTATTCCACAGCGTGTTATCAGCAAGTGACCTGTGAAATCCAGCTCCAGGAAATTGATTGAAATAAGTACTTGCAGTTGAGCATGTATTTTCCCCCATTACACCTCTCTGTGAAATGTATTGTGGGTATCTTTCAAGAGAAAAATGAAAGTATGGCTGTGTGTTTTTTCTCTCCTCCTCCCAGTAAGGATGGTATTCATTGATTTAATTTTAATTGGACCCACTTTTTGTCCCACAGTATCGTTAGAGGTCTGTTTTGTAATGGCTCTTAAAATGGATTGTCCTCAGTAAGTCACAGCATCAGTCCTCTGCCACAGGAAAGATAGACGGAGGAGGCAGGGAGGGGGGCTCTTGATAGACGAGGATCTTTCCCCTCCTCCTCCTCCTCCTCTGTTCTC